GATTGCATGTTTTTCTAAAAAATAAGCACTAGGGATTATTTTAGGGAAGTCCTATCACCTGCGTTATACAGGAGGTCAGACTAGATGATCACAGTGGATCCTTCTGGTCTTGGAATCTATGAATCATTCAGTGCCACATCTCTTACTAGCCCTAGAAATGACTAACATGCCTAAATCTAGTGCTGATGCCCCAACTCAGGAAGCATCCAAGGTTACTATTGCCTTGAGACATCTAGGTTTCAAAACACTGGGGTCAGTGCTTTGTTTCTGAAGACAGACCACAAGCTTTCCTGGAATCCACACCACTACCTACTGATGCTGGATCAATTATCTGCAGACTTGTCCTATGTGCAATCAGCTGCACAATGACATCCCTGAGCTTCCAAGGAGCAACAACAAATTTTGGTAGCCACTTCTAGAATCTCATTGGTTGGCACCAAAGGTCTCTGTTCTAGCTAAACTGGGCCCTCTGGTGCCACATCTCCAATGCAATAGAACGGATACCAGGACTAAAGCAATGATGGGAAGACTTTGCACTTTCATCTTCCATTCGGGGTAACGGTAAATTTATTTTGCCTGCAGATATCCAAAATTTTTCATATTGTTTTAAATTTACCTAAACCTGAGCAATCAGGTAGCAACAATGATCAGTGGGAAAGCACTTGAGAATCCCAATTTATAATCTGAGTCCAAGAACACCAATTTCTTAGAATTACTGGTAAGCAGTGGAATTCCTCGACCACAATATATAAAAATTGCTGTCTATAAAATGACACTAACATTATACAACTCTTTTCATGGAATAAAATCCATCTATGCTGTATATCAGTCCAAAAGACAACAACTGTCCAGGACATTCTTTTTTAAATGCTGCTTGAAAAAGAAATACAGATAGAAACCCTGATATCCTGACCTCATCTGACATTTCAGAGCATTCATTTCCGTATCTAGACTTTGGTTCACAGGTTTCTTAACAGTGTAATTGGGTAATAACTATATCCAGGCAGTGCCTGTGCCTCCATAAAACAGATTATAAAGGAACCATTTCTTATTCATTCTACTTATGGTTGAGCAACATATTTGAGGTCATTCAGAAGCAGAAAGTCTCATTAGGGAATCCCTCTCACCTCCCTTACCATCTACAGTATACTTCCAGAATGATTGGGATGTTCACCTTGTTCTCTAGCCAGGGCTTATGGACTTCGTATGAGATTAAGCTTCCATATTAGAATCCTAGAATCAAAAGATATTTATCTAGTCTTCAAGACTTCTCCCTTTGATCGAGATCAGAGACTCATCAATAGTTAGCTAAAAATCAATGTATCCAGGCTGTGTTTCTTCAGCGTTGGTCACACTATTGCATATTTGAAGTAGTAAGGAAAGATTGCTTCTATGACTGAGGTATGGCTATTTCAGTCAGGAGTGGCACCAGTTCCTCATTACTTTCAAAAGCCAGGAAGAGCATGGGCCACATTTAGTTTCCTGGTCAACACTCCTTTAGGGTGTCCGGTACCAGGTGATGAGTGAACGTACTTGACTCCTGTAATGCAGGCAGGCTGTTTGCTGGCCCGCGTGGGGGAGCAGCTCCATGCTATTTGAAAAGCCTTCCCAAAGGACCATGTTCTTTTCAGCAGAGTAAGATGATGGCTCTTCACAGCACTTGGTGTTCGACTCTGTTGTGAGCGGCAGGCACAGAGAACTGTAGAAGTAGTTTTCCACTCTGGATAATTCCTTCAGGTGGGATCTGGCAGCTTCAATGAAGGCTGACAGAAAGGTTCTCTTGGCCTGTAATACATCTCAGTAAAGGCTTGGACAAATCCTTTATTTCATCCTATCAACCTTAGGTTTACATCATTGTCACTCAAGTTTCAACCCCTCTTACCATCTGGTACAGGGTGGTCAGAAAACCAACGAGATGCGTGTGCACGATGGGGAGGGAGGAGCTGTTTAGGGGGTCAGAGTGTCAAAGGCTAGAATGCAATGATGGTTCACCAGATCCTTGAGTACTTGTCCTATACTTTCAGTGCTACTGTCCTTTAGCAGGCTTTGTAATTTGATGGTGTCCATTAGTCTTGGTAGTAGAATCAGGATCATGGGCTTTTCTTGTTGCCTGGGAGATTGTAGAGCTCTGCCTTAAATGAGATGATGCCCAAAGCAGTGACTGGGTTGTGATGCCCTCAATATTGATAACTAAACAAAACATCAGGTCCAGGGTGTGACCAGCTGTGTGTGTTGGTCCAGAGAGAACCTGTGAGGGTCCTACGGAGGCAAGTGAAGAGCTGAGTTTTTGGACTTTTTCATCTGCAGCCCTGTCAACATAAATTAAATCAGCCAGGGCAACACCAAGTCAAAGGTATTATTTCATCACCAATGGCATCAGACATCTGTTTCCTTGAAGTAAGCTATTTCTGTTGTCCTTGATAACTCTGTTGCTCTTACATGCTTTGGAGAAGAGGTAAAGGGAAGAAGGCAAGGGCAGGTTACTGGAACCATCAAGTTTTGCACACTGCTTACTGCATAGCCACTAGATCTTCTCGTTACTCTCTCTCTGCTTTTTCCTCTTCCCATTGCCCACTTTTTGCCTATCCATGACCCTCATTTATTGAATCATGTCCCATTTATATTGTAAACACTGAAGAACACGGATTGTTAGCGTTGCATGTTTTAAGGTGCTCATAAATAGTAACATGATTTTCTAAATTCTAAATTTAGCTTCATAAGTTCTCTTCACTCTGGCAAAGGATTTGTCATCTGACAGATATGAAAAGCCCTGGGATTAGTCATGTCTGAACTAACTAGATGCCTACAGTATTTATCTACAGGTTCCATTCATGTCAAGGCTAGTAATTTTTTTTCTAGTTTAAAAAAATATCTATGCATGAGACCAAGTTTACATAGCTCTTACAAACACCTCTTAAGAATCATCCTCCTGATACCAAAGTACTGGTTAGTCATTTCCCCATCACTTACCTCCAAATGGGAACCCAAGTTTAATTCTGATCCTAGCTTTTTATTTTTATTATTTTGGTATTTTCATTTTATTCCACTGACTCCAGAAATTCCATGCATCACAGTCTAGTTTACATTTCAGTACTAACATTCTTAGATTCATGCCATTTAACAAGGAGTTATAAATGCACACTACTACATTCATACAGCCCACTTCTTGTGAGACAGTTCATTTCTTAATCTCAAGTAAAATTACACCATTCCGCAGGGCCACTGAAGGGAAAAATGTCCAAATTTTAAGCCTGGAGATTCAAAAGGCATCAGCATTAAAAATAAATGAAAATTTATTATTTATCCAAAGCCACAAGTCACTGAGAAAAGCTAAAGAAGCAAGAAAGAATGAAAACTAATTTCTTTGGGAGAAATGACTGATGCTAGCCACCTGAGAAATTAGCATATCACTTTGAGGTTCCCATCTGGAAAGAGGTCAGCCTTTAATATAGCCACATGTACCACTTGTCAGAGCTCACATCATAAGTGTCCTCAACATCTCAGAGAGAAGTTCCCACTGCACTTGAGTGGCAGTTCTGCAGGACAGCACCAATATCCACTACTAGACTGGAGTTTCATTATTCCAATGAGTCTATGAATCTTTGTAATCTATTGGTGATCAGATAGTATCATCTATAAGCACAATACATGGGGCTTCTGGTATCAAGCTGTAGCTCAGTCCTCCAATCCCAAACCTAGAAGAGTTGGGAAAATGCCATGGAGGACACTTATTCAGCTTCTTGAGACATACAGCACTGATTAACCACTCCCTTCTAGTCCACACAAGAGAACAACTAGTTCCAGGAGGAGCTACATCCAGGCCTTCTTGGCTGAAAGAACTGTCACCACACATGCTCTAAGGTAAAGAATGGATCCCTATGGCTCCAAAGAGGCTGGGAACATCTCATCATTAACATCTCAACCACATAAGTAAATGTTTTGCTTTAAAACAAACAGAGACAAGGTGGATGAGGTAATATTGTATTTGCCCAAGTTCTATTGGTGACAGAAATGCTTAGAATACCCCTAATATCCTGGGACCGACAAGGCTAGAACAACATTGCTTTAAAACAAGCTTTAAGTGACCTCCAGAAGTCAGCACTCTTGGTCCAACTGCCTTCAAATTATTCTCAATCCTGTGAACAGAACAAGCTAGTTGATCCAGAAGAAAACAAAGCAGGCTGTGAGTGCTCTTTTCACAGAGATAGTAAGAAAGTAGGAACAACAATTATGCAACTGTTCGGAAAATATTGCAACCTAACATACAGCTGATACAGGGAAGCAAAACAAAATAGAGATGTAACCCCTTTAACAGAGGCAAATGCATAAGGGGTGAATAGAACAAAAAGCAAAGGACATTTTCCTTCTGACAGATGCAAGAATAATCTTCAATAAGCTGTGCTTTGGAGATCCAAGTAACAGAGAAACCATTTGAAGAGAGATAAAAGATATTATCAAAAAACTTTCCTTCTTAACAACATCTTTTATTGAACACGTCCTTTGCCTTCGATGAATTTTACTTGTAACAAGAGTAAGCATGTTAACAGTAAGTTGTTCATGTTGCTCAAAGGGTCAATAAAAAACTTTTTAAAACAGGCAAAATGGATTTTAAAAGGTTACAAGAAATTAACCTTCATATGCATTAAACAAGGTTTGTCTGGGAGCATTCAGAATTCACATCTTTGGGCATATACAGCTGCCACTTGCTGTGGATTTGTGCACATGCAAGCACTCCAAAACTTGAACAAAGGTAGTCCATTACATACCTGAATATTCACAGAAAAAGCACTCTGTAGTTGCAAGGAAATTGTGGCATGTGACAATCACCCCTATCACTCAACCTGCATCAGCTTTTGTGGAATCATGTTGCTTTAACACCAGAATAAATTATTTAAATTTAAAAGCACTTAAAGTAATGGATATTTATCTTAAGATTTTAAACACCAATTATGAGATATAAGCTCCTGTAATGCAAGCCACTAAGACAGCGATATTCTTACCTAGTCTGAGTTCTCCGAAGTTCCCACACCCTATCTTCTTGCCCACTCTGAAATTGGGTCCCACCATAAGAACACCAGAGGACGTAGCAGAACTCGGTCGAGAACCATGCCCACTCCTTCCTGGCATTCCTTTTGTTGTCCGCTGCCTTTCATCCTTCTCCCTGTTTGAATGGTCCATGATCTTACAACACAAAATCTCTGCCAGTAAACTGGCAGAATTGGGAGTACACACTCTTCTCCTTAGAATAGAAATATATATCCAAAAGTATCACTGAGTCAGGTTACAATACAAGTCATAGAAACATGAAGTTCTTTTGGCACCATCTCCAGACTCCTAATATAGCTCCACAGTGGTTGGTTACCTCCTGGAGAACTCAGTAAAGGCAGATCTTTAGAATCTAAAAAGAAAAAGAAATATGAGATTGCAAGATTAAAATCAATTAATGTTTCATAATACTTACTGCTAACCAAACCTGGACAATTTCCAAGATGGACTATTTCATATAAACTAACAGCTTGTCACCTTCACTGGTTTCTAGTGGGGTCCTGCAGGGATCAGTTATGGGTCTGGTTCTGTTCAATATCTTTATCAGTGATTTAGATAATGGCATAGAGAGTACACCTATAAAGTCTGTGGACAATACCAAGCTGGGAGGGGTTGCAAGTGCTTTGGAGGATAGGATTAAAATTCAAAATGATCTGGACAAACTGGAGAAATGGTCTGAAGTAAATAGGATGAAATTCAATAAGAACAAATGCAAAATACTCCACTTAGGAAAGAACAAATCAGTTGCACACATACAAAATGGGAAAGGGATCTGGGAGCCATAGTGGACCACAAGCTAAATATGAGTCAACAGTGTAACACTGTTGTGAAAAAAAAAAAAAAAAAAATGGCAAACATCCTTCTCGGATGTGTCGTAAACAAGACACGAGAAGTAATTCGTCCGCTCTACTCAGTGCTGATTAGGCCTCAACTGGAGTATTGTGTCCAGTTCTGGATGCCACATTTCAGGAAAGATGTGGACAAATTGGAGAAAGTCCAGAGAAGAGCAACACAAATGATTAAAGGTCTAGAAAACATGACCTATGAGGGAAGATTGAAAAAAATTGGTTTGTTTAGTCTGGAGAAGAGAAAACTGGGGGGGTGGGAGGGGAGGCATAACAGTCTTCAAGTACATAAGAGTCTGTTACAAGGAGGAGGGAGAAAAATTATTCTTCTTAACTGCTGAGGATAGGACAAGAAACAATGGGCTTAATTTGCAGTAAGGGAGGTTTAGGTTGGCCATTAGGAAAACTTCTTCTCAACTGTCAGGGTGGTTAAGCACTGGAATAAATTACCTAGGTTGTGGAATCTCCATCATTTGAGATTTTTAAGAGCCGGTTGTGGGGGGAGATAGCTCAGTGGTTTGAGCATTGGCCTGCTAAACCCAGGGTTGTGAGTTCAATCCTTAAGGGGGCCATTTAGGGATCTGGGGCAAAAATCTGTCTGGGGATTAGTCCTGCTTTGAGCAGGGAGTTGACTAGATGACCTCCTGAGGTCCCTTCCAACCCTGAGATTCTATGATAACAGTAGGTGTACAATAAGTAATTACTATGTCCAATATCAACAACCTTAAAAGAAGATTGGTTATTCTGAAAAAAATAGTCAGGCTACAGGATAGTACATTTACATTTTTGCTACTATGTGGGGGGAGACCCATTTTACGCATGAATAATAAGTTCACATAGTTTTAGAGTTTAAGGCCAGAAAGGATCATTAGATCATCTAGTCCAGCAGTTCTCAAGCTTTACTGCACTGCGACCCCTTCTGAGCACAAAAATTACTATATGACCCCAGGAGGGGTAACCAAAACCTGAGCCTGCCCAAGCCCTATCACCCTGGGTGGAGGGCCAAAGCCATAGCTTGAGCTCCACCACCCCAGGCAGGTGGGGGGACCAAAACCAAAGCCCAAGGGCTTTAGCTCCAGGCAGGGGGCCTATAACTTGAGCCCCGCTGCCCAGGGCTGAAGCCTTCAGGCTTCAATGCTGGGCAATGGGACTTGGACTTTTGGCCTGGGTCCCAGCAAGTCTAACACCAGCCCTGGTGACCCCATTAAAATGGGGTCCCAACCCACAGTCTGAGAGCCCAGATCTAGTCTGATCTCGTGTATATCACAGGTCACAAACAAACAGTATGACACAGTATTGAATGCAAGACACAGGAGGCAACTGATCCCGCTCTGCTCTGCATCAGGCCCCAGCTGGGGGACTGTGCACCACAATTTAGGAAGGATGTAAGCAAAATGGAAAGAGTAAAGAGGAGAGCAACAAAAAATGATAAAAGGTTTAGAAAACCTGACCTATGAGGAAAGGTTTAAAAAACTAGTCATGTTTAATCTTGAGAAGACGACGACTATGGAGGACCTGATAACAGTCTTCCAATATGTTGAGGGCTGTTATAAAAATGACTGTGATCAATTGTTCTCCATATCCACTAGAGACAGGATGAGAAGTAATGGGCTTAATCTGCAGCAAGGGCTATTTAGGTTAAATATTAGGAAAAACTTTCTAACTCTAAGGGTAGTTAAGCTCTGGAATAGGCTTCGAAGGGAGGTTGTGGAGTCCCCATCATTAGAAGCATTTAAAAACAAGTTGGAGAAACACCTTGGATGTTTGGGGATGGTCTAGGTTTACTTGGTCCTACCACAGCACAGAGGCCTGGACTTGATGACTTCAAGGTCCCTTCCAGCCCTATGGTTCTATGATTAAATTTGACCGATCTGAGGTGCAGGGATATGGATAAACCTACAATGGAGCACCCATAGGGGGACACATCTCGAACCATAGTTACTCACAAGGTGAGTAACTACTTCTTCAGTCTCCTGACTAAAATGCTTTAGCCTAATTAAAGCCATTGGAATCAATACAGGGTAATTGGGTCAAATTTAATCATAGAAACATAGGGCTGGAAGGGACACTAGGTGCCACAAGTATTCCTGTTTTTACTCAGAGAAGAACTATGTGCTGCAAGGAAAGAACAGGAGAGACTTGAAGCATTATTAGCAATGTGCAGGTTAGCAAGATTCTTCTGGAAAGAAAAGCAGGACACTACAATAACAAGATAGGTACTGAAGGTATAACAAGACAGTACTTTTGCATGCAGAAATGTTGTTCAAGTTTAAGCTCAGTCTTTAGACTGGGAGTGTCTGGAAATCTTGGGATACAAATTTGGTTCCATAGAAAAAGTCAGTGTTTCCTTAGAGACAAGGTGGGTGAGGTATCCAATATTTTTTATTGGACCAAGTTCTGTTGGTGAGAGAGACAAGCTTTCAAGCTACACAGCTCTTTTATGTGTGGGAAACATTCAGAGTGTCACAGCTAAATACAAAGTGGAACAGATTGTTTAGCAAAGTAGTTAACACATTTCAAGTGACCATTCAAAGTGAAGTGGACAGGGGTGAAAGTAGAAATAGGGACTTACCGGTACGGGGCTGGATTGGGGCCAGCTCTGGCCCCCGGAAGGGGCGGGGTCTTGTGCGGAAAGGGGCGGGGTCAGAGCCAGCCCCGACCACCCTGTACCGGTAAGTGCCTCCCCCCTCCCCCGCCGGGGTAGCAGCAGCAGCTGGGGGCTCCGGCAGCAGTTTAAAGGGCCCAGGGCTCTACTGCTGCTACCACCCCGGTCCCTTTAAACCGCTGCCGGAGCCTGCAGCTGCTACCCCAGGGCTCCAGGGGCTATTTAAAGGGCCAGGGCCGTAGAGGCAGCGGGAGCCCCGGGCCCTTTAAATAGCCCCCGGAGCCCCGCTGCTACTCCAGGGCTCTGGGGGCTAAAGGGCCCAGGACCCCCCTGCTTCTACCGTCCCGGCCCTTTAAATAGCCCCCGGAGCCCTGGGGTAGCGGTGGGGGGCTCCGGCGGCTATTTAAAGGGCCCAGGGCAGTAGAGGCAGCGGGAGCCCCGGCCCTTTAAATAACTCCCGGAGCCCTGCTGCCGCTACCCCAGGGCTCCAGCAGTGGGGCTCTGGTGGCAATTTAAAGGGCCCTCTCCAGCCGCTGCTGGGAACCCCAGGCCCTTTAAATTGCTGCCTGGGGAAGCCGGGCCGCCCCGGTACACTGTACCGGCGCGTAGCGGCTTACTTTTACCTCTGAAAGTGGCCTATTGACACCCTTCCACAGTCAGAGGGGAAGCAGCTGAAGCGGTTGTGAGTGGGTTACAAATCTAAGCTCCCAGGCTCATCTTTTGAAAGTGTTGTGCAGGTTTCCTATGAGGATGAAGATACAGGTCAGATATGGACTGATTACTTTGTGAAGTATTCACCCACAGGTGATATGGTGTTTTTGTCTTATTTTCCTGTGTGACAATAGTGTAGTGACTGTCTGGTTTCACCCACATAGTTGCTGTTGGAGCATTTAGTGCACTGGATGAGGTACACCATATGTTCTGATAGGCATTTGCAAGCATGGCTGGCCTTAGGGGTGGGCAGGCTGGGCCGCCATCCAGGGTGCCTTATTCAGGGGTCGCTGTGCTGATACCTCCCACCCACCTGACCTGCCAACTGCCAGCGGGGTTTAGAGGAACCCCAGGCAACGGCTGGAGAGGGCAGACAGATCGTGCTGTAGGGGGAGGGAGGGAGCGAGGAGCTGGGACTAGCCTGGTAACTTCTCCAAAGGAGGGGTGCCCCTCTGCCCTGCTCCACTGTTGTCTACAAATGCTGCTGTTCCTGTCCCCCACTCTCTGCCCATGGAACCACTCTGGCCAAGCTGCTCAGAAGCTAGAGCCTGGCTCCCGTCTGCTGTGCAGAGCTTGGGGGGGGGGGGGGGGGGGGGGGGGGACACTGATGTCAGGGTGTCCCCCACCCCCGGCCCTTGCACCCAGTCTCTGCTGTGCTGGGGTGAGGGTCAGGGGGAGAGTATGTGCTGGTGTCTCTGGGTCCGGTGTGGTTGCTGCTGAATGCTCTTCTTAAAGAGACAGTGCACTGACACACAGGTGCACACACACTCCCCCCAACATACATCCACATTCACACTCTCACACACAGAAATTAGCTAAACACACAACTTTAGACACTGTGCAGATGAAGGTCGCTTATTTTCAAATGGTATTTTTAGCTATATCTGTAAAATAACTTAAAATTCATACAAAAATAAATGTGGTTCCAAGTCTGATACTAATAATAATAATAATGATGGAGTCAAATGTTAGTGAGTCATGTACATGATTGTGATCAGTAAACAAATGCTGCCAAAATAATCCAAAAAAATAAATTCCAGTTCTTTATAAAAGAGAAAAAACCCTTAATTGCGTCTGTTAAAATTAAGCAAAGCCATTTTTAGTAGAGTGAAAAACGACTAAAATAAAGTTAGAGAATGGCAAAAACAGAGTGTGTCTATTAGAGAAAGTAAGCAGATTTAAGCTTATTTT